AGATGGGGGGGGGGAACCCAACCCTGGTTAATGACTGGATCTGTAAAAATATCCTTTAGCATATGTATTAGTGTTCTTGTAGCTTCCTTCTATTAAAAAAAAACCAACAACCTCTAGCACTGCATAAAACATATTGCCATCTTAAACTGTCATACTGGTTGAATGAATCCTACCTTAGTAACTCCAGTGCCAACTTCTTTGACAGTATCCTAACACAAAGACAATTTAAAATAATCAAAACCCCAATGAGTAGTGTAAATCCTACTGGTTTTCCCCATAATGCTGCTGCATGGTGTTTGTTGATATAATTTACTCTAGCTTCCATCCTGCAAAAGAAAATCCAAACTTAAACCATAAACATGGGTGGAGATACATTGCTAGCACAATACATGAAAATCAACCTCACCTCTTCCATTTCAAATGAGTCTGGCAGCCTGCACTTTAGGTCAGCCACTTTTCTGAGTGTGTGGGCCACCAGCAAATGTGTCTCCTTTCTTGTCCTGTCTTTGGCAAGAACCTCACACACAGGAGAAAGGTGGGGCTGTTTTGCAACTAGGTGCGATGAAGCCCAGGCTCTCCCCGATGGAGTCGGTAGACACTGGGACATGGGATACATCGAGGCAACTTTGTCTCTGGGGGTTTCCTCCTGGCTCAGACAGCCCAATGTAACACCTGCAGAAAAGCTCCCCTGGACTGTTCCTCTCTCAGCAATATCTGCACAAGAACAGGGTTGCTCTTTCCTGCTGGGCAAGTTGGCTTCCCTGGGTGCCAGCAAGCTCTGTTTCAGCAGCATTGTCTGCCAAGAAGCCCTTTTCTGGAGCTGACATATTCTTCTCTGCTTCGCTCGTGTGACTGCAGGTTTGCTCTTCACAGCATCCAGTAGACTGGGCTCATCCCTGCCTGTGTCCTGAGCTTTGGTCTGTTGGGTGTTGATGTCAGTCAGCAAAGAGGAGAGGGCACTGGTTACATGGTCAAGTACTTCCAGCTGTCGAAAACGTTCTTAAGGTTGGCAGAATGGAAAGCAACATGGTTATTCAAAAATATATTTTGAAATAATCAGGTACAACGACTATTCAAGATTTGTCATTGCCAAGAATCATACCAAGTACCTCATTCAAAAGTGGCTAAATTCTTCCATTCGCTTCCAGAGGATCTATTCAGGCTACATACAGATGTCATTGCATAGTTCTTTCTATTAGGCAAACACTTAACGCAACGTGGAATTTGTTGGGTCAAATGCAGCTGAATACTGCTCTGTGTGAATAAAGGTTACAGAATTTAGCCTGAAATTCTCCGGTTGGCTGGGCCAGACTTGGATGCCATTTTTGAGGACTTTTTAAAATTCATGTGAACAAAGTTATTAGAATCTGATCTCAAATGTTTACAGCTGGCAGCGGGCCAGGATAACTGCAAAATGCATATAGCCATTAACTGATAAAAACTGACCACAAAAGCTATGTTCTCATTTTCATAGCAGCGCAAAGCAAAACACTTATCCCCCAGAAACTCATAGCTGATGTTGTATAAAGGTTCCCAGATTTATTTCATTGTATTAACCTTATGTAATTTCTGGGTCATTTTTTTTTTCCATGGCATAACATCTAAAGAGAACCAAATAATGTTTCTCTAAGGGATCCTGGAGATTTCCATCACTACAACACTATGAAGTTATTTATACAAAGAAACGTAACACATTTACTTGCACATTGTGTCTGTACCTATCCTGAGGCAACGAATATGCCACCAGGACTCCTTTCTTGAGACGTTCATTAAGGACAGTAAATGGCAAAATGTTAACTTTCTTGGCTGCCATTTCTCTTAGAGGGCAGCCAAATTTACTGCATGCAGTCTGCGTGCAGGCTGTTGGTAATGCTGCTTCACTGACAATTAGACAACAAGAGGGTATTTAACATGGATCTGAGTTGGTCCTTTGCATCAGGGACCAGTACCATAACATATAATTCCTGACAGTTACTATATCTCAAGAATACCCCCTTTTTTGCTTGATTTTTAACACTGGAGGAATATGTTGCCATTGCTGCCACTTTTTAAGGCATGGTCAGAGGTCTCACCTGATGTTGTTTAAAGGAGTTACCTGATCTATCAGTACACAGTGTTGCAGAGTTTCCATTTGTATAAATTTGGGGTGTCAGAGCAAATAATTTTTGGTTTTGTTCATCCATTGTGCTACCACATGCTCTCCATGTAAAGCACATTTTACGCTCAGTACTTCATCTGGCTCCCACTACGTCAGGTCATAAAAATGCCAAGTGCTAATCTCCTTTGACTGAGAGTGACACAGCAGTCCAGTCCTTTTGATTTGAACCAGAACCAAACTTGCTGCAATTCAAAATAGTTTTTACACACTGCTCAGCTTTTGTAAATTATTTCAAAGAGCTAGGGACTCCAAAAGAACAAATCAAAAAGCAAGAAAAATAATAAGTGAACAACATAAAAAATTTCCTTACTCATGTGCAATGTATTAAATGTACAGGTCGTGAAGAAATTATGTCAGGGACAGCCTTGCTTCATGGATTATTTCTCTCCAGGCAAGCAGTCCCTTCAGTTTCTAGGCGTGCTCCCCAGGGATCACACCTTAAATAGGCAAGAGGCTTATAAGATCTTTAGTCCCTGCAGCCTGCTGCAAAATAGTTTAAAACTGTAGCACAGATGAGATATTAAAGGACATAAAGGCAGATTGATTTTAACTAGAAACTTCAGCTGAAACAGCAAATGGCTGTGCTGTAAACAAGATCAATGTTTCTTCAATAGAATCTGTATCTTTTATAGCGGTTCTAATGACTTTATGATCAATCATCTTATAATTTAGAAAGGAAGATCACAGTTTTGTTCCTCCTTCCCTAAATCTGGTATTACATAGGCTGACATAGTTACCTACAGGAAAGATTTGGAAAGTCTTCAGTAGGCCCACAGTGGAATGAAGGAACACCAAACATTTCCAGAGACAGCAAGAAATTTTCAATCAACTTCTCTTTTCACAGCAAATGACAGAATTTGGGAAAAAAAAAAAATAATTTCAGTGGGAAAATCAAGACATCTGAAATTGCTCAGTTTTCCTCAGGAAAATTAAAAATGAAATTTCAGCATTGTCTACTTTGTTGTATATTAAAATATTTTCCTTTTTTTTAGATTGTTTCAACTTGAATCTTGGCAATACTGCTTTAGATTGAATCAAAGCTGTACTTCAGAGAATGCATTTAGCAATTTACATTTAATTTCTCTTCTAGAGGATTTACTGGCTGACATATAATCCCTCTCTCCTAGCTGACCTGTGGTGGTCACAGGACAACCATGTATCAAGGGAATTGGTGCTTATCTAATACATTTATCTCATAGAGCAGAGCGAGAATTGAACTACAGCTCCAGTGAGAGACTTGCAGCAGCTGAGACAAACAGAAATGAGTGTGAAATATCCACAGAAACAACACACCAAACTCCAAGCAGATTTACATGACGGTACAAAAAGTACTGGTGGTTTTGGGGTTTTTTTATTATGAAGTGGTGGGTGGGTTTTTTTATTATCAAGCATCAGATTAAAACATTTCAACATTTCTGAGCTGTGCTCAGAAACTTGAAGATTTCAAATAATTTTGTGATATTCATAAAGACAATTTCTTCTCACTTAATGTCATGAAGTTCAACAAGGTCAAGTGCAGGGTCCTGCACACTTTAGTGTGTGAATCCCAAGCACAGATCCAGGCTGGGTGATGAGTGGATTGAGAGCAGCCCTGCAGAGAAGGACTTCGAGATATTAGTGGATGGAAAACTGACTGTGAGCCAGCACTGTACGCTCACAGCCCAGAAAGCCAACTGTGTCCTGGGCTGCATCAAGAGAAGTGTGGCCAGCAGGGCGAGGGAGGGGATTCTGCCCCTCTGCTCTACTTTTGTGAGAACCCCCCTACAGGGCTGGATCCAGCTCTAGGGCCCCCAACATAACAAGGACATGGACCTGCTTGAGCGGGTCTAGAAGGAGGCCACAAAGATGACCAGGGGCTGGAGCACCTCCCCTGTGAGGACAGGCTGGGAGAGTTGGGGGTGTTCAGCCTGGGGAGACCTTAGAGTGGCCTTCCAGTACTTAAAGGGGCTACAGGAAAGGTGTGGGGGGGACTCTTGATCAGGGAGGGTAGGGATAGGACAAGAGGTAAGTTTTAAACTGAAAGAGGGGAGATTTAGATTAGATCTAAGGAAGAAATTCTTTCTTCTGAGGGTGGTGAGGTCCTGGCACAGGTTGCCCAGAGAAGCTGTGGCTGCCCCCTCCCTGGAAGGGTTCAAGGCCAGGTTGGATGCTTTGGGCTTTGGGCAACCTGGGCTAGTGGAAGGTGACCCTGCCCATTGCAGGAGGTTGGATTAGACGATCTTTAAGGTTCCTTCCAACCCAAACCATTCTATGATTTGATGTTTAATATAACTTCTGATTGTCAAGTGACTTTATCTCTTCAGTTAGGAAATCTAATCTCTTCAAATGAGGTCAATAAAATTTTCACCACTAGTGAGTTATGGGGATAAGCTTTTCTTTTGGATCTGGCTGAGAAGCTGAAAGGGTTGCCAACATTTTTGAAAATACATCTTATTTTTGTGAACTGAACCTTTTGAAAACTCTCTCAGACAATGCTGAGAAAACAGCACCAAGTGAGGGCACAATTAATAAATATAACAACCCACATGTAGTTTAAAAGGTCTAATCAGCAGTGATGGAGGCCTAGGAAATTATATTCATCACAAGCAGGAAAGATCCAGACAGAAACAGAAAAGGACAGCACTAGGAAATGAATGAAATAGGAAAGAGGAGAGGGATCAGTCTACTATGGAAGTCCTTGGTCTCTCTCAACTCCCTTCCCTTCTTTTCTCCAGGTTTCTTGTCTTCCGTATTGTACTTATGATCTTTCTCCTTATCTCTCACTTTCTCAGAGTACATCAGTTAACTTTCTCTGATGACTCAGAGAATAGGTGAAAGTAAACCAACAATGAGACAACCTCTCAGACATTCACTAGCTCAGATTAAAAGATTTCTCCTTTTCCATGGCTAGAGACAAATGAGAGGGATTTAGATTGCATTTACATTGAAATGGTTCACTGGTAACAAACCAAACAGGGTGACAATAATTGAATTCATCCGGCATGTCTCTGGGAACAGTGGTCCAATACCATTTTGAAATCTCTAGAGGTGGCACATGGGTCTGCCTTCATTCTAACACTTTCATTTCAATGCCCTGATGAAGCAGTCCCCTGACGGTGAGGAGTCTGGAGTTCCCTAAATTGTTCACGGAGAGGTAAATGCCATGGAACATCTCTAGACCTGAACCTTCTATGGAATTTACATAGAAGGGTCTTTTTCTGGGTCTTCTGGAGGCCTTTGAAGGCCACCTATTCTCCTCATTGCCATTATCGGGGGTGTAGGCTTCTGCTTTAGAAAAGCTGGCTCATTAGATACCTGAAAATTGAGGTGCAGTATTAGTACTGAAGGCAGATAGCTTCGGTCCCACTCTGGAGATGCAATCCATTTTTAAATCTAATAAACGTGAATTTGCCACTCATCCTTCTTGCTATACCTCACTGCAAAATCATTAGACGACCTAAGGTTGGCAAGATTGGATAAAACAGAGTTTGCAAACAAATTCCATTTGTTAATATTCCTCAGGCTAAACCTGGTACATTCCTTTTTAGCTGCAAGTCCTCTGCTGGAGTACCAGCTGTAGGAAGGTACTTGTGCAAGATTATCTACATGGTCACTGAGACAGACTGGCCTCTTCTGAGAGGTGTTTTAGGTAGTGGCTGGATGACCACCCACAGGAGTTGCCTGGCTCTTTCCACTTGCTATGGAGATAAAAAGACTCTACAGTGATTAAGCTCCTTGAGATGGTGCCTATAATTTGGTGCAGTGAACCAGGCTGAGGTTAATCACTACGTATATAGAAACACATAGTCAATGAGGTAAGTAAGAGGTAAGTATCTCTGAAGGATGAATCCCACCTCTCTCGATTAAATGTTCCCAGCACATACTTAGGAGGCCTAAGCAGATGGTGTGAAAACCCCCTCCCAAACTGTCAAAAGCAAGATAATATGTTTTGATGGACATCACACCCACCAAAACAGAAATTCAAATCTTATCTTACTTCACAGCAACTCCCCCATACAGTTAAACCATTAACATGTATTAAGAGTGCTCCCATTGAGGACAACTGCAGGACCGATCATTAAATTCATACCTTGGCTCACCACTACCTGCCTTCACTGTGCAAACTCCTTCCCTCAGAGGCTTTCTCTGCTCTCATTCCCTCCTAGTTCTCTACTTCCTTCCCTGAGGTCTCCATCCACCATCCACTCATACTGATTATCTCTGATCCCTCTCTCCCTCTCTCTCAGAGGAGTTACAGAGAGAGAAGGAAAGTGAGAACTGAGAAACCTGTTTGATGTGTCAGTTTGCTGTAAATATTGAAATATGTGCACGGGGCTTGCTATAAAAAAAGAGAGAGAGAGAGAAAAACACATTTTCCACAATGCTCTGACATTTCTGTTTCAATTCTCATTCCATCCATACTGCTTCCTTGGTGTAATTCTAAATGGGAATGCACGGGCTATGTGAGAGATCCTGCTTTGCTGAGCATCTTAAGTAAACAGAAGATTTCAGGAGCCATCTGGCTATCCTGTGCAGCAAACATGAGGGGAAATGATGTCAAAATTGGACTTTTCAGATGGGACTTTTACCAGCAAATTAACAATGCTATTTTAATGCAGATATATCTTTAGGGTGAGGGCCTTGTATTCACTTCTCAACTGCAAAATACACAAAATGAGAATGTAAACTATCTAAGTGAATAAAAATCAGTACTGTGTGCTTTAAATGCTGCAATTTTATTGTACTTAAAATATTATTCTCATCTATATCTTAGGGGATATTTGAACCACAGAATTGTTATGTTCTAATTAGGGATTTGTGGGTCTGATGCACAAACTCTGTTTCTAGTCATGGGAAGTTAAGATATTGTCATCTGCTCTGCACACTCCCCTAAGAGAGGGGTCCTGCACTCACCAAGCGGAGAAGGGAATGTGAGTCCACATCTGCCCTGCCCGAATTTAAAATACTCTATATGGGCTGACACTGCCAGTGATGGTGGGTAAATACTAATGTGCTGCTGGTGAAGTGGCTAGGGCAAGGGACCCATGTTCATGTTCAATTCCGCAGCCCCTGTGACACCAGTGACAATCTCTGGTAGTGGGATGGGTCTCACAGTGGATGGGCAGTTATGATTTAAAATGCCAGAAGCTGGTAGCTTCAGCACATAAATCAGAGTCCACAGCTGAGGACAGCTAGAAAGTATTTCAGTCACATAAGGAAGTATTGCCACAAAGGGGTACATGAGGCTCCTCACTATCTCCTGAATACATGTCCCTTTTTTCATTATTTTTCTTTCAGAATCTGCTTCTTCCCTACCCTCTCAGTCCCCATGCTATTTATGGCTAAAACTTCTCCTTTTGCCAAAATATCTCTCCTTACCATATAGTTTTGGCCTCTCAATGTCCATCCGCTGTTTCTGAGCTTCCAAAAACACTCGGATGTTGATCCCTTTTGCCACAGAAACACCACTGAGGAACCGAGGAGGGATTTTAGTGCAGACATCAGGTTCTTCTGTACCAAATCCCAAATCGAGCAAAATCTCCACTGGATCCTTTTCCCAGAGTGCCAGCCATTCAGTGGTGCTGTGGTGAAAACATCATGATTATTTACACCACTGCCTTGGTACAATTTTTCTCTTGCAGTAGCTACCACATGGTCTTGTTTTTAATAAATAATTATCTTTTCTTCTCCCTTCTTGTGGAGATTACTACCTAAGTGAAAGTAGTCTTTTTTGGTCACGTTGCTCAGAGATTGATACACATGCCTCTCCCCAGAGGAATTTGGTGACATTGGATCTAGATAGCTTAGCAAGAAGAACATTAATAAAAGGTGTAGGTTTGCAGCTCTGCAGGCTCACTTCTCTCTAGACACAACACAGATAAGGCATGCCGTAGCTGCTGGAAGATCCCGCAGCCTTTTACCTTCCAGTGGATTCAAAGCCCCCCACAGGTTCAGGTAGGTTTTAGTTTTTTCTTGTACAAATGCATCTGAGATCAGACACCCGTTCTTCAGAAGGTTGTTTTGATCTTTTTAAAATAAATGAGAACATGCCTTTTACAAACGAAGATCTTGAGTGCACGTTCAAAATTTTACTCAAGTTTGTTGATCCCTAGATGGGTTAATACCTTGTATTCCCAGCTGGAAATGCATGGACATAACTAACCTCTGTGGTGCCCCAGTGAGCAAGTGGGAAGAGCTGGGACTCCTACATCTTGACATAACCAGACTTTCTGAAAACTCTTGCAGGCACCTGGTTGGAAAAAAGCAACAATGAAATGTGCTTACTCATGTGCTCCTCTGGGATGTCATTATGATTATTTTTTTTTTTTCCTAGAGTAAACATTTGCATTTTGTCTTGGTTTATAATGATACATAATAGCAATGCCTTAGAAGAGGAGTCAGCATGAGAGTGTGGCAATACACTTATTCTCGAGAACAGTATGTTACAGTAGGTGTGAGAACGTAGGTGTGAGGTACCAGTAAATGCTAATTATAAAGGTGGCAGAATGGCTCACTTTTGACAGATGGTGAATCTTTGGGGAACCTTTAGGGAGCACGGTTTCTCTAGCCACCTACTTCAAAAGATATAATTGCTCTTAACAAAGTTTTGGAGAGACAAGGCACAACGCGTACCAGCAGCAGGAGTGGCACCTGAGAACAGTTCTGTGGTTTGCTTCTCATTGTGTTTGTATCTGCTAATCTGCAGAGAAATAACTGCTTTTCAGAGCCCACTCGCTGCAAAAGGAATATCCTTTCTCAATAGGTAAGGTAGCCTTTCTCAGTAGGTGAGATGACGTGGTTTTGTTTTGTCCAAGCTTAACTTTACCTATATCGAGATCAGTAGCAAATGTTTATACACAGTTGAAGCTTAACTTTACCTATAAATACCTATCAAGATCAGTAGCAAATGTTTATATACAGTTGAAGCACTGCATTGATCATTTCTTTTATCATTGCAGGCTATCCACCAGCTCACATCTTAAACAGACATAGAGGGATATGTAGAGTTTTGAACTAACACTGTTGCTCTCAGTTTGAGAGAAGGGAAGAAACAAACAAACAAACAACCAACACCTAAACTTTCTCCTTTATCAAAAAGAAAAGGAAGAAAAACCAATTTATAACAGATCTCTATGGTGTCTGAGACCTACCTCCTGTAGTTTTGCACAATCATTTGTACCATTTCTGGTAGTGACAAGGAAACTGCAAATAAGAAATAAATATAATTTATTTTCTTACTTTTTTTTCCCCTGAAACCAGAAATGTTCGAGCTAGAGAAAAGACCAAAAGACTGATTGCATTATATAAGGAAACATTTTAGCCCAAGTGGCAAAGTTGCCGAGCAATACCATTGTGGGAAGCTCAACTCACAGTGTATGGTTGTCATAGGTAAGTGCAACACATGTTGATAAGAAAGGGAAAATAGGTGTATTTCATTTCATAAACCAGTAGCAGTACACTCTAAACCACTGCTATTTCAAAGGAAGCACCATGAATTGGGTTCCACCATCTGCTGCAGAGCCATTGAAGATACACGTAGAGCAAATATGATGAAAATAACTTTTAATCCCTGAATTTTTAGTCAAAAAATACAATTAAAATATATTATTTAAAATTCTCATTCCAGCACACACTGGTACAACTTTTTTGTGTCTGATAGTTTTTCAACTGTAATTTACTGAGATTTTGTGAATATTTGTGAATATTGATTTGTCTGGGCTTTGCATCATGCTCTGTGTTTGGAAGGAATGAGACAGTTGCAGGACACTTGAAAAAGTTTCTGGAGGAGAAAATATTTGTCCAGAACCTGATAATATTGTTTACTGGACTCCAAGTGTGCTATACCTATGAGCTATAAGGTGCATATTTCATCTTTTCTTGATGATGAAATGGAAATAAATCAGATGCAAATATGCAGTGTCTGTAGTTGTTACTTCCCCGCCTAACACTGAATTAACACACTTGTTGATCCTCTGAAAGCTGGGGCAACATATGCCTAGGAGCAGCAGTAGATATCCTTCTGCATTCCACAAGATGAATATTTTTTTGTCTAGCTTTTAAAATTTTCTTTTCTATTTAACAAAATTGTGTCAATAAAGAAGAAGAAAACATTCGTTCACATTCTCTACTGGATTATCTTCCGCTCATAAATTCTAACATAAGTTCCTTCTGGCTTACTCAGTGCAAGGATATCCATTCAAATTGAGAACATAAAGGTTACTGACATCCTGTAATTTGCTGTGGTAACATAAACCAGACTTTCTAGCAGCAAACTGAGCATAATTTGAATAAGAATCAGCTACTTGTTGTACACCATTTCTTACTCACGTGTCAACAAAAGCTGTAGATTCACTATAAAAATGTTTGAGAATGTAAAAAATAAGATCTGAGAGTGAGAGTTAATTCAAATTTTCCCTAGCAGCACGTAGGCACTCCTCTCTGTAACAGAACATTATACCACAAACTGGCTGCTGCTCTGATTTCCTCAATATCTCATACTGTCGGGACTGAATGAACACAAGTGCTGCCAAATTAAAAACCTAGCACTGTGCAATACTGGCCAGGTGTTAAGTGAATAATTTAATGATGATAAACCTGGTATTTGTAGGACTTGTAGGAAGTAACAGGTTACCAAAAAAAACAAATGGGCAGAACCTGATAGGTTACTGCAAGCTGTGTAAGAGGCAGTAGCTGGTGTGGCTGTACTCTCGAACCAGGCAAACACACCTTAACTCTCTTTTGTTGCAGGCTAGTAAGTTGAATTGTCCTGTATTGCTATGGGTCAAGAACATGCCCACGTACTGCTACCAAGGCTAAACCGCTCAACCTCTTCAGTGGTAGTGAACTGCTCAGGAGCCCACGTCCACCTTGGACAAACTGTGCACCTCCGGGCAGTGCAACACGGGCCATTTCACTCATGGTTAGAGTCTCTACTTCTTTCTTTAATGGGAAGACTCTCATGAGAAGTTCCTCATTAGAAAGCTTGACATTTTGAAATATTAGAGTTTGTTTTCTCCATATTTAAGAAGTCACAGAAATAGGAATGGGGAGGGGTACATTATTTACATTTCCTTATCTGTATAAGTATTTTGTTCCTGACACAAGAAACACTGAATCTCATTATCAAACTGGAAGATACTTTGGGGGAAATAATGCCCTTTAGAAATCTGTCATAAAACCTTATGAAAACAAACAAACAAACAAAAAATACTTTGTAAACCAACTGTGGTGCTAATTGGTGCTCTGTTTACTGCACATCTAAGTATATCTTTGCTTATGAATAATATATTTTGCTAAGCAAAATGTGGCCTCTGATACTTGAGGGAAGATAAGGCATTTTAGCCTCAGTAATCTGATTAACAGGAGACAAGATTCAATCACATATTGTTGAACTGTATCTTCTACTTGTAAACCCAATAAACAAAAAGTGTAGATATGAAAGCACTGATAAATAATATTTTGGGCTCCAAAACCACTAAAAATGTGGACATTTTCAGGAATATATGAGGAGCTGTGAGTTGATTTGGGATTCTAGATCTTTTCCTCAAAAAGGTAGTCCCTGAATTCACTACATTCAACAATCAGGAAAGTAGGTGAGAACAAACAAGAAGTTGTGCATTCAGGTCAGGCAGAGTTTCAGTCACCTGAAAATCTTGTACCATAACTTCCAGACCACTGTGGGCAAACCCATCCTAGAAACCTCCATTCCTTCACTAGAAGAAAATCAAATCATGCCAGTGGAGAACATGACCCCAGGGCATATCTGTTGAAGGCCTCATTAGAGAATCTTTTCATTGCTACTCCAAACAGAGGAAAAAATATATAGCTTATCCATGAATATCACATTTTCCCAATAGTCGCCATCTCCCTGAGGTCTGTGGTGCTTGAAATTTTATGGTTAAGCAGTCCTTATTAGAAATGGTGACTGATGTTCTGTCTTACCTGCCTCTTCTTGGCCTTGCAGCTTATCCCCACTTCTACATCAATTGTAAGATAAAAACCATTAAAGAAGACAAAGACATTAAATCCCCCAGAAGAATGGCTGCTCTTTCCTGAGAAGAGATGAGGTCAGGGAGGCAGTCTGATGGGCAGGCACAGCACAGGGCACTCAGGGCATGGACCAGCTGAGTGGGGAGGGCTGGTGCAAAACCAGCCATAGGCTCATCTTTCCTGGCAGTGAACATCATCTACTTTCCCTTCAACATACATTGGCCTCTGTTATGTGTTGAGATTCAAATCTTGAACTTAAGCTTAAGGCAAAGACCATGAAATTTTTGCATTCTGCATGAGTAAAGTCTGTCACTTCTGAACTAAAATTTTACTAAGATTCTAATTAAATCAGTTTATCCGGGGCACGATTGAGAAGAATGAAAGCAAAAGCCTTTCCAGTACATCACATAAGAGGCAGCTGTATGATACTTCTCAGCTGATGCATATCTGCATGGTCACATGGTAATTATTAATGACACCAGTAATAATAGCCAGCCTTGCAATGCATGAATTTGTCTGACTTGGCCTTACCCTGCTACTGGAAAATGCTTCTACAACTATTACATAAGATTACTGCTTTTTTTTTTTTTTTTTTTCCTCACCATACTTCCAAAGATTATTCCTAAGGATGTCTTTTTTTTTTGCTTCTCTGACACAACCCTGCCTCTAACCAAATACACCTTAAGCAGTCAATGCATGAAGTCATACTGAAAAGTTCATGGCAAATACCAGTCTTTCAGATGTAATTTTTATCCTGACGAAGGACAAAAAGTTAAAAAAAACCCCAGAATTTTGGTGAACAAAATAGATTCAAATTTAAGTAAATCCAAGGTTAAACTGTATTTCCCTATAGAAGCACTTTGCCTCGTGGAGTTGTAGGCATGTGTAACCACCATTTGCGCAATAAATCATGCTCCTGCGGCAGGCTACATGTCCCTTGGGGCACACAGCATTGTGAAATTCCCATGATGTAGGAGAGAGCTCACTCAGAAAGCTATCCAGACACACAATGGTAAACGCTACCCTTCAAAGATTACACTGGAAATGAACAGAGCGCTGAGATGCATTTCTCATGAGGTCTTAAGCAAGACATGTCATTGCAGACTGAAGTTGTGAAAGAGTATTTTGATGTAATTCAACGGAATAAAAAGCTCATTCTTTGGTTAAAATCAGCCAAAGCAGAATATTCTGGTTTGAATTTTCAGGGGCCACAATTTTCCTACTGGAAACTTCAATACTGCAGACATTATATTCCCTATTGGGGAAATCAGGCAACAAATAATTAAGTAATAATGTGACCCAAACTTACAAACCACGAGAATTCAAAAAGTGATGAACGCTTTCTTTCATCATGTTTTCTAAAAGCAAAAGTGGAGCTCTGAGGTAAAGTATTGCCAGTTTATAACAATTAACCACCTTATTTCATGGCTTCAGTTTTGGTGAATCCTGGAACGCATGAGACATAGTGGGAGAAGGATCTAGTAATTTCTTTTAGTAATCTGAGGGGGGGTTTAACCAAGTTTGGAAAGCAAAATAAAACCATGAATTATTAATTTGTCTCTATTATCTGTCAGTTGTCCCTGTTCTGGAAGCATCTAGTAGCCCTAATGAAAATGGAAAACTAGCTTATTTGATTCTGCATGAATGCATCCTGATGCACAGTTCCTGCCTAGGTTGAAATGGGGGAGACAGTCGACTCTTGTGTGGAGGGAGGATTATCTCCTCCTTTTTTACCAAACACGCAGGAAGTCCCCAGCAGAGCTAGAAGGAGATCCCAGCTCTCCTGCCTTTCTGTTCAGTTTTTCAACCCAAAGGTAAGAAGGGATGGCACAGAAATATTTAACTCATTGCTAAAAAAATGCTATGGGCATGCTTCTTTCCCCTGCAGGTTCAACCGAAGCCACTGAGAGCACCAGGTTAAGGAGCTGCCTGGCTCTCGGTGACAGAGGAGGAAGGAAAGTGCTGATCTGCAACATGGCTCAGTCAGAGATAAGATAAAGCGCAGGAGGTGATTTTGTTGCATTACTGTCTCCTAGATTCAATAGTGCAAGTCTCATTAACACAGTGAAAAGACATGGAAAGACTGCAGCAATCAGAAGTCTTTATACTCAAGCCTTTAGAGATCTAATTTTGAGGTGCAAGCTACATTATATATGGATTTGAGGGTTTTTGTTAAAGTACAGAGCAAGAGAG